CTACTACTACTACTACTACTCTCTCTCTCTCTCTCTCTCTCTCTCTCTCTCTCTCTCTCTCTCTCTCTCTCTCTCTCTCCAGTCCAATCTCCACCATCCAACATTTGCCAGACAGTGGATCTTAATTAATGGGAATGAGGTGGCATGCACCTTAGTGAGATAGTATACATTCCAATATGCTCTCTAATAGGCATAATATATGGTCCCGACAAAATAAGGTACCGCACCTACATGCCATATTACAGCAGCCTCCTTGTGAGCATCCACCATCCAATGAGTACTGGACTGTAGATGCTCATACCAGTAAATGCAAAATTTCATCCAAAACCACAAAGGTACTAGCCATTCTCAAATCTAACGCCAAGTAATATCAATGATCTAAACAAAAACAAAAAAACAAGGAAGATACCCAAGAATGCAATCACAACTACAAGGAATTACGTATGTGCATGCATACGCACATGGATAATCAATCACCCAAGAATACAAGCATCGGTACACACACTTATGGATGCCAAATACAAAGAATACTCATACATGCACATGCATACTTACAAATACAGATATCTAAGTGATTTCATTCAATCATGCATTAAAATGAAAATATACGACCCGAAGCAAGTACCTACAAACATGTGAATAGGTGCACAAATATATGCACCTATGATACATGATGGCACGAATTCACCAAGTGGCCATGAATACATGCCTTATATCATGTATGATATTTAGCTTGAGTGTCACCTCATCTCAACGATCTGGAGAAGATATCTTGGCCTTCTCTGTCATCTCCTTGATGGTGAGCGATGAGCTTGAATTCAGCCACCGAGATAAGTTGATCAAGAAAGGAGTGTAAACAAAGTAACAGGTGCTAGTCCAACTAACTAAACCCTGAAGCACAAAATATAATAAAACATTTATCAGAGTGTTGTACATAGAGTAATGTTCCAATTCTTATACAATTATTAATACCTCACCAAAGACATTGATGTCCGGATGGGGATAATACCATAGATTCCATAACCTGATGAAACAGGAAACATACATAAACTAACAAGCAATGGGAAAAGTAGAAACATATAAACCTAGGAAAAAGGAAATAGAAAGAAGAATAAAGACTGACAAAACTTAAATAAATAAAAAAAACTAAAAAACAAGCAGCAAACAATACATTAAAAAAGAAATCCAACAAATAGCAACGATCAAAAATAAAGAAATAGCCCATCAATCTCCAGCCAACAAAAGAATAAAAGAATCAGACCAAATTTAACAAAAACGAAAATATAATAACAATTTCTCAAGAGGGTCAATTTAAATTGGTGGTTGTTGCTTGAAAGTTGGCATTGAACATACTTCATAATTGGGATTTCTGCCAAAGGGCAACCAAAGCCGACAATGCAAGCCAATGTGAATCCCAACCATGTCCCATCAAAAAAGAACCAGATAAGCTCAGCAACTGCGAACAAGATGTAGGTTTCTGTGCTAGAGGGAAGCCCAGCTTTGTACATCTCAGCACTCATCTCTATGAATGATGCCAATAATCTGACGAAACAAAATATATGAAGACATCAAGTTTTTGCATGAAAAGCAACATTAATAACTAAATAAATGGACTGAAAGATAATGAAAGAAAACGAAAAATATATATGAGAGAACAGGACAACCCCCTTAAGAACAGTTCACTTACATGTGCAATAGAAAGTCTTACAGAGTAAAAAAAAAATTAGAAGAATATATACTTTTCCTAGAATATATAAACATAAACAAACTAAAAACAATGAGAAAAATATATAAGATAATGGTATTTAACAACAACCAAATCTCAAGCACAGATCAAATAGTTGAATGAAACAAATCGTTTGATCAAGCAGAAAATGCACTTATTACTAACTATGAAAAAAGAACAAAAATAATAAGAAAGAATATCATAAGATGACTGAATAGTAGAATCCTAACAGTGCAAGTAAGTGGATGAATCCATTCCCAAATAATCTGATCAGGCAAAAAGATAACAACATATCACTTTTCACAAAATAAATAAAAGTACCTAGAAAGAATATCAAAATGTCTAGAAACAGACAACATGACCATTGAGTATTTCACTTCTAAGAATAGATGCAATAATCTGATCACATAAAACATAAGAAGTAATTCGTTTTCAAGATAAAAAGATAACTAACTAGTTAAAATTAATGAGCGAGAGTACTAGAATGCATAACATTGCACTTATGACAGTTCATTTCCTTATATGGAACCAATAATCAGATCAAGGGAAAAATAAGAAACTACTCTTTTTCAGTGAAATCAGAAGCCAAGGAAATAAAAGAAAATGAAATAAAACTTAGAAAAATTAGAAGAACATATAGAAGTGACCAGTTCAATCTATAAGAGCAGTCCAATATATGAATTAGTCGAGTAACTTGATCAACAGGACCCTAAGAAGAATTCCCCTTTTACAAAGTAAATATATGAATAAGAAAATGAAATTAAACAAAATAATGCTAAAATAATATTCAGAAGATATGGGAGTGAGCAGAACAACATTGGGGAACAGTTCAACTCACACTTGTTTTATCTAATATACTTCTTTACTTTGAAAATAATAAAATCATCAATTATCACAAATTCTTCCTAACCATGCATGAAACCAACATTTCAACAAATGTAAACATAACAGGACAATGGAAGCACATATGTTTTGAACCAATATTTTCAAACTTGGCTCGGGCCTCGGACCTGGCTTGGCCCAAGCTGAGTGACTTGGCCAGTCTGAGAGGATACTGTGGAGTAATGTACAGGCCCAAGAAGCACTAAAAAATATAAGAAAATTTTAAAACATAAAAATTTGCTCAATAATAAAATAGCAATTTTAATCAGAAACAACCCACAATGTCCAAATAAGCTGAAAAATATACAAAACATGGATTTCGGAAAACCAGATTTACAGTTGGAGATACTAAAAATCAAAAAGAGAGAAAAATACATACATAGGGTATATGGACAAGAAAAAGTGACAAACCATTGAAAAAAAAAATCCAAAGTACATACATAATTTTTAGACATCAATCTCACAAATTTACATCATCATCATCTTCAGAGCTTTTGTCCAACTATTTGGGGTTGGTTGCGCAAATCCCGGTCCACCATTCAGCTTCATCTAGGGTCACACCCTGAGATAGGCCATAAGCCTCTATCTCTTCTCTCACTACTTCAAACCATGTCCTTTTGGATCTACCCCTTACTCTTTTTTAGCTTTTCTACTTGAACTAACTCGTGCCCCTTACTCTTTTTTAGCTTTTCTTTAGCTTTTCTACTTGAACTAACTCGTGCCCCTTACTCTTTTTTAGCTTTTCTACTTTAACTAACTCGTACCTCCTAACAAGTGTTGCACTAGGTTTGGTTTGTGATGCCCATGACCAACCCACCTAAGTCTACTTTCTCTAAACTTATCACCTATTAGAGCAACCAACCCACCTAAGTCTACTTTCTCTAAACTTATCACCTATTAGAGCAAAACCTAAGTTTTCCCAAATATATGCGTTTGATCAATCTCACAAATTTATATAATTTTTATTTTTTTATTTTTTATTTTTATGGCTGAGTTGTACCCGAGTAATCGGCTCAGCAAGGGGCCGAGCCGGAGATACTCGGCCCCAAGTAGTTAACCACTGTTTCAAACCTATCAAACACTAAAACTTTCGGTTGTTGAAAGGATGGCCTTTGTAAGTTTCACTGGGGAGCAATACTTAACTTTTGTCTTAGCACAAAAAATCGCACTTTTACTTTCTATCCCTTAATCAATAATTTTCCCCCTCTAACTATCCATAAGTTTTGAATCAAATCTCTCTCTGGATTAATCTTCATAACTCGCATTTTCGAAGTGAGAGAGAGATGAAATAATAATTCTTCATGATTTGAGAAGAAAACCCACTTACATAAGGGAAAGTGCTGTTTTCGGTAAGCTTCCTTGTGTATCATTGGAGTTGGAAGAAACTCTTTCATCCAAAAACAGTTGTAGCAACCCAACAGTGCAGTAGAATACTCCCAATAACAAAGGAACCTAATTCAATGGCACCCCATATAACACAAAACCTATCAATTCTATATACTTTTATTTGAAGAAATATCAATGCAAAACCAAAACACAATACAATAAAAACCACAGAAAATGTCAAAGGAGAAAAACTCAAAATACCCATAAATTTGTATAAAGAGGTCCAATTTGGATGGCCCCATTTTGGTAAACTACAAGCTGGACCCTCGAATGGATGCCATCTATGAGAGGACCCAAAATAAAACCAGAGCCGAAGAGGGAGAGAGAAATTCTAGGCCAGGAGCGAGAGAGTGGGGTTTTGGAGGTATTCTTTAGGTTGCAACAAGAGGGGCAGAGAGAGAAAGGACTTCTTTTGGAATGATGGGAAGGAGTGAGACGGAAAGCTGAAGGGAACAAGAAGAACGCAGCTTGAGATCGTATAGTTCCCATGGATCTCAATCTCTGAATCCTTTGGCCAACAATTTTGCGTGTGGTGGGGACTTCGGGCCACTGCACTTGTTTTGCCCTCTGTGTCCCTAACATGGAAAAAATGTCAGAAGAGCAGGAGTAAATGAAGAGGCCATCCAACCATTGTGACCCACCCACGGATCGTGTAAGTATTTATGACCTAGGTTCTCACTGTATATAATCTCTAATTATAAATGGATGTATTTTCCACAAGGCAAGGCTCTATGAAAAGTTGAAAACAAAGTAAAGCCTCCTCGAAAACCTTTTCCAACATTGATTATGAAATATGTGAAGCCAAAATATTGATAAAGATCTTGTGGATCCGTAAACACATATTTTTAGGATGATATAGATGGATTAAATAATGTACTACAATATGTATTATTTTTAGAGCTTAAAATCTTATTATTTTTTAACAATTATAATGGTCAAGGCCAAGATGGTCGATTTGAAGCTTGAGTGGGGGGAGGGGGGGAGAACTTAAGTAATGTGCTATTCAACAATTTATTCTTATTTTTAAAATTTAGTTCCGAAAGGTGATGCGCTATTTAATAATTTATTCTTATTTTTAAAATTTAATTTCAAAAGATCCCTTAAAATACACATAATCACGAGATGGAATAATTAAAAGGAAAAAATTATATACGGTGTCAACCCTATACTGTATGAATAAGGTACGTCTAAAAAACCACTAGAAAAGGTTGTTTCTATGCTGGAAAACCCTCAAACTAAAAATCTCGACCTCGATATTCAAATTCATGAAAAAAGGGAATTTTTAGTCCTAAAAATAGTTCATCTTCTAGCACATTATATGGACCACCTATTTGTAGAATTTTCAAGTGTTTATAGATGTGCTTGATTGTCATCATTTTTTAAACTTTCAATTTTATAATTGGGGGCAACAATATATTTTCATATTGGATTGAGTTTGGTTTTAGGCATTGCAAGGAGAGAGAGAGAGTCGGAGAGAGATGGTTGGACAATGCCTCCTCCTCCTCGTCTTTGCATCTGCCTCCTCCTCCTCCTCGTCCATCATCTCCTCTTCATCTGTCTCCTCGACAGCTTGCACCTCTTGGTTGGACAACGCCCCATGGGCAGCTATTACATTCTCTCGAGCGATGGGTCCCATATCAGCAGAATCCAATACAGAACTGAGGTGTTGCAATGTGTGTTGCACCATGCTAATCCGCAAATAGACAAATATTGTAAAATGCGTATGTCACATGCCATAAAATTTTAATTGTAAAATAATTAAAAAAATCAACAACATTTTCTTACCATGACTTGTCGGCATATCCTCTTGGGGCATATATTACACCCATTGGTCGTGTAGGATTCCAAATTTGAGTTCTAGACACCCTCGAGTACCATTGCATGTAGTATGCGGAGGACACCCATCCTCGGTATCATGATTAACACCAACTACCCCAACCCAGTATTTGCAGTAATCCTCCCATATTTGGATTTGTGGGGCTAACTCATGCGCCCATGAATGTACCAATCTACCATGCCTCTCTCCTCATCCCCATTTCTCTGGATTCGGACATTCCTCCCTGCTAAAAGCCAAACTATCGTAACACTCGCTCTGGCAAATAGCACTCCGCAATGTTATAAAAAAAAATATAGGAATTACACCTTGCGGAGGTCACACCCATCCCAATCCATCTAGCCATTATTGGGTTACATGTTATATGGCTGCCACTGAACCTATAATCTGAGAAAAATAAGCTCCATTTACCAAGTATAATGTGAACCCTACAATAATTAAACTTTTACATTAGGTTTATTCAATGTAATCAAATTTTGTAGTGAAGTAATTGTGGTTGTGCTAACCTTTGATGAATCAAGGAGGTCGATCTCCTGATGGTAGTAGGCAACAATGTGTGAAGGGCTTTTCTTTGTAACGGAAGGTCTCCATCGCTTCGCTCGTGCCTCGCCCACTCTAACCTTTCTCACCTCATCATTATGCTGCAAAGTGGGAAAATACTCAACTGTTCAACTCTGCATAGTGAATTAATAACAAACAATATATTAAAGTTTATAAACTTATCAGGTTTTAAAAATTACAATCACATAAAAACCTTACCACACTTACGCACAACTAACCATAAACAATTACCTTAAAAACCATTGGAGACCCACTAACGTGGGATTTTTTCTTGATAACAAACTTATAAAGAGAGTAGAATAAATATGCTAGTGTCTCAACACCCCATGCATATCGCTATGCTCTATCAAAATCCTCAAAGAGCTTCAGATACCTTGTGGGCACCTCATTGCCATTCGCACTTGCAAAAATCGTGCTCCCAACAAGATACAACAAATAAACGCATGTGTGCCTCTCAACGACCTCATCGATAGCATTCCGTTGCATTATCATGAATCTCTCCTTCAACCAATTGAATTTGATAGTCACTAACTTATCAAACGAACCTCTAGGAGAAGTTCCAAGCCATCTATGCAAATATGGGTGATAAGGAATGTAATCCTCTATAATGATGGGTCCCCAGTCACATTGAGCCATAATCTTATCCAAACAACATATGACGTAGGCATCATCTCACCGACATGATCATCAAAATGTGCTGAATTAGTCTCGAGCTGCCATCTTTCAACCATTGTAATGATTAGGTTGTCGTCGACCCTTCGTGGGCTTAGATTTACAAGGGGCAATAGCCTTGCTCTCAGGGGCACTTTGTGCTGGTGTAAACAGCCTAGACCAATTCCAAACGTTACTACATCTCTCGTCAACAAATTTTTTTCTCTCCGGTCAAAATTTTAGAAGTCATTGAACTGTCATTTATCAAGATAATGTTGATCAAGTAGGTAGCTATTCTTAAGTTATTATAAAACATTTACATCTCCTTCCCAAACATCGTTAGAGACATGGTGCCTTTGAAAGTATAGGAGCTCAGGCTAAGCTCTTTGGTCTACTACTTGGTGCACCATAATATATCTTTCAACATGCAGCAAACTTTCTTTTTGGTAAGCATATTTCGTGAAGGAATTTAAGTTGAACAACTGAGCAAAAGTATTCAAATAGTCCTATGGGAATTTAGACAAATAAGCATCTGTCAAAATTCACCTTAGCTTGGAACCCATTCACAGTTTGGAACCCATTCACAACTAACAATTTATTCAATTTGAATCATAGATCCATCAAAATTGTAATTCAAAACAATTTCATTCATCAAAGTCATATTTCCATCCAAAAAGCTTTCTCTAAATAGAATCTACTTTCATAAATTCATCAAACAATCACTGAGAAGAGTACATAACAATGCTTTTGATGAATGAATTGCTTCACAGTCATTATATATAGGGAAAAGTTTATATAGAGCCGAGGCCGAGGCTCTAAACAATCAAATTAGAGCCCACCTCAAAAATTTCACTATAAGAAGTTGTTTTAATTGCCAAATATCCTTAAATTGATCATCTAGACATCATGATACATGTACATGAGAAAAAAATAGATATCAAGTTTTGGAAATAGTGCATCTTGTAGCACGTATTTGGACCGTTCATTTTCAAGATTTTCAAGTTGTCATAGATCTACTCGATCTACACTATTTTTTAAGCTTTAAATTTTATAATTAAAGATGAAAATGTATTTTAAAGCTATCACAAAGATTTCAAATATTGAAATCACTTTTCTCAACATTATTTGAATATAGACTCCAATTTGATTGTTTAAAGCCTCGACTCTATACAAACCCCACCCTTATATATAACAACAATAAAATATAGAACAATGCATACAAACAGAATGTATTATGTATACAATGACTAAACTATATCCTCAAATTCACCTCTCCAAAAGCAAAAACAAAATTCTTGCATCAAGCATCTTAATGATAAGGCAATGTTAACATTATAATAGAATACATAGCAATTGGATAGAGCAAGTAACCTAAATTGAAAAACAACATTCCACACTAGTTTAAAAT